AAAGAGTAAACAATATTAGCGACATTGATCATAGAGTTGTCAATATCATATTAATTATATAAAGCATTTTGTTATATTTGGCATGTAATTTGTATAATCAGAAAAATATGCTGTTTTCAAAGCACAATATTTTAAAAACTCATTCATAATAAGGATTGTGATATGGATAACAGGGGGACTATTTATAGAACAGGAGTCTGAATGGCAAAATGTAAAGTCGATCTTACAATTTCAAAATAAATCAGTAAATTACTAACTCTCTTCAAGAATTCAGTAAGCAACAGATATCCAACAACATGTTCTAACCCTTTCTAGCTACCCTTGAGCCTAATATTCTTATCCAATGCTTTTTATGGCTTCCCTGATAGCTCAGTTGGTAAAGAATCACCTGCAATGCTGGAGACCCCGGTTTGATTCCTGGGTCTGGAAGATCCCCTGGAGAAGGGATAGGCTACCCATTCCAGTATTCTTGGGCTTCCCCTGTGGCTCAGCTGGTAAAGAATCCGCCTACAATGTGGGGGACCTGGGTTCGATCCCTGGGTTGGGAAGATACCCTGGAGAAGGGAAAGGCTACCCATTCCAGTATTCTGGCCTGGAGAATCCCATGGACTGTATAGTCTATAGTGTAGCAAAGAGTTGGGCACAACTGAGTGACTTTCACTTTCTTTCACATGTTTTTTATGACTAGCACATCAGTTTCCACCTGCAGACAAACAATATAACATTTTTCATATTTGAAGGTTGTACCAAAGGAAGGGGGCTGCCCTAGTCACAGGTTTGAGTACAGACAGAAGATGCCTGGCAAGCACTGTGTCCTTGCTGCACAGAAGTAGACAGCTGAGTCTCCAGCTTCAGTGGTTGCAATGTGCAGGGAGAGATGTTTGGCCGTCTTATTCAACAAAACAGTCAGTCTCTGGTCTTCCTTTTTGTCCTTATTTGAACGAATGTCTATAAGGAGCTGGGGACCTTTCCCAGGTTCTTGCTTATACCAAGGGAAGTAGTCTGAGTTACCATCTGTATAAGTGCAGGTGATAACAGAGCTGTTTCCCTCCTGGACACTCAGGGTAGGACTCTGCTCCACCTTGTTTCCCAGGCTGACACCTATGGCGAAAGCAGAAGTCAGAGAATGGAGAAGGGTTGTCAGATTATTTAGCTCTAGAGTTTACTTTTCCTTTTCTACAATAACTAGAAGAAACCTGAATAAAGCCAATCCTGGCATCTGAAGAATATCTACGAATACACTCTATTTCCCTTAAACCCTCAACTCACAGTCCAGCTGCAGCCACAAGAATGTGATTAAAGCTCCAGTGGGTGTCTTCATTGTTTTTCCCATTTAGGATCAATTGTGGACCTGCAGTCTCTGGCCAGGAGAGCTGCTTCTGTTACCAAGTGATCCCTTCTTTTCTCTAGTGGTTTCTTTCATTGTCTACCCAGCCAATAAGGAAAAGGCTCTGCTTCTGCCCCAAGCCTACCTATCCATTCAGAATCCACTCAAATGAACCCTCCACATGTTCTGATCAGCAGAGGTGCACCACCCTCTGGTGGTTACATCTCTAACTACTGAACTCTCTGGTTAAATGTCCTTCTCATACCTGTGCCTATGAGGGACTCTGATGCATAAAAACAGCAAAGATCAAACAAATTACATCTTAGGTTGTAAATTTAAATGCACAGTAAGGATGTAGAGATCAAGATTTACACCTCTGCACACAACTGAGTCATTTTTAGTAAGTTAGAAGGAGGTAGATGCTGTTGCTCTTTATCCAATGATGGGCCTGATATTAGTTTTGAAATTAGCAAAGCACCATGATTCACTCTTAAACATAAAAATATAAAACCTTCCTTTTCAGCCTGTATACCATGCTCTTTTGTCTACTATGGGGAGAAAATCTTTCTAAAAGGAACATGTAAGCCAAAGAAGAGTAAAAGAGAAAAAAGATCATTTGATATCCCATGTGTTCCTCTAAGCTGGTCTTGCCTGTTAACTGTGACTATAGTTAACAATACTGTACTTTTCATTTGAGAGTGGCTAGGAGTACAGACCTTAAATATACTCACCATAATAACAAGACAAAAATCCTGGTAGTTATGTGTAGTGAAAGATGTGTTCACTACCTTTATCAGTGTTATCACTTCAAAATACATACATATATCAAATCATTATATTAGACACCTTAAACTCACACATATCTTAAAAGCAGTGAATGACTCAGAGCCTTAGTGGGATTTCCTCCAGAGGATGAATCAGTTCTACTGGCATGCTTCTGCTGCCTTGGCCATCGCTGGCTCAGAGTCTATTTTCGATTATTTTTCTTCCAAATTCCACTACAGTGTTCTTTCCCCAAGACAATGACATTGACATTTCCCCAATAAAATGTTCTTTACCCAAGACACTTCCCCTTAACTTCTGTGAGTTTCCAGAATTATCTTCCTCTGCCAAAATCACCTTAATTACTTAGAATTTTCTGGTTACCTCTGTGAGAATAAACCTAAGAAAGCCTCAGTATTGCCTGTGTCTTCTAGAGAAATAGTGCAAATAGAAGATTGACCCTAAAGAACCTGTTGTAAGAAATGGTCCCTGGGCAACCAAGACTACTTCATTTCCAGAGGTAGAAGCCCCTCTCCTGTGATTTGGACTCTCTGGCCCTGTGGATTACCAAGGATAAATTTAACCTCTGTTCCATATTTCATATCTTTAAAATTTTACACAGCTGTGGTGAATAATATCTACTCAATATATAAATATATATATTTATTAAAATGTGCTGGTTTTATGTGTGTTAAACTTCTTGCATTGCAGGCAGATTATTTACCATCTGAGCCACTAGGGAAGCCCAGGTAATACAAAAGTTTGGAACAATTTTGTATGTGACGTTCTTAATTCATCAAAGACTAACTTCCACTTTTCTTCTGGATTTAGAAATCAATTATTGCTTGTTATAAATTCCCTGGTGGCTCAAATAGTAAAGAATCTGCCTGCAATGAGGCAGACCCAGGTTTGATCCCTGGGTCAGGAAGATCCCCTGGAGAAGGGAATGGCAACCCACTCCAGTATTCTTGCCTGGAAAAATCCTATGGGCAGAGGAGCCTGGCAGGCTATAGTCCATGGGGTCGCAAAGAGTCAGACATGACTGAGCAACTAACACTACTATAAAGAATCGTGGAGAGCATTGGTGTGCTTCACTTATAAGTAATCTCACTCAGGCCTCCTATTTTAGCACCCGCCACAAACCTTCAACCCACACATACACAGGCACTCTCGAGAGCAGCACCATCTTTCTCAACTATTCAAAGATAACTGGTCCTTCTCTTTCAAACTCTTCCACAGCTCACATTGTGACACCTCTCACACTGAACCGAGGTTTCTTCTTCGTCTAGTCTGTAACACAAGCTTTAATACTTCCTTACACTTCTCACCTTCTGACATTTCGTTGACATCACTATGTGCTGTGATCTCCTTATCTATTCTTTCTGTGCTTGCAGGTTTATACCTTTCTGATTTCTTTACTATCTTAGAGATAAATGTGTATTATTAATCTACTATGTTTATACAAATTTCAGAGAAAACATTTTATTGCACAACATTATGTATTGTTTAATGTATACTTTGACATGGGTTTTATTTATAGAACTTTAAAAATAAAATTTGCATTTAAACCAATTTAATAAAAAATTAACTAGATTTAAACCAACAATGCATTGCTAATATACACTAGATTTAAACCAACAGTGCATAACAAAAATATATTAATGTTATGACTATAGCTCATTCACAAAACCTACAAATATAGCCTTTGAAAAAAGTAGAAGAAAATTTTCATGAATGTGGAAGAATGAAGCCAAGAAAAATATTTTAGAAGCAGCAGGCATTTCAAGGGGAATAATATTTTTAGTCATTCTTATCATAATAGCCACTGCAGAACCAGAAAACATATGTTGTTCACGTCTGTGCTTAAAACTTTTTCCCAAACAGCGAAAGTACTCCTAGTGTGCCAATAAACAGATTCTGATTCCATAGGATTGAACCAATATTTGCAAAGACCAGAAGTATATTTGCAGTGCAATACAGAGATTGATTGCTCTATTATTCTTTTCAATACACCATCTTCTCTTACTTCGTTATCTCTCACAATTTCAAGATTATGACAAAATACTTAATATTTTGCAAAACTCTATAAGGGAAAATCTGAAAAAGAATCCATATGCTACGTGTATCACATACTATACTCATGTGCATAACGGTTACTTTGCTGTACACCTGACACTAACACAACACTACGTATCAACTCTACTTCAATCTAAAAATAAAAGTTTTTACAAAGTCATGGTTTTTGGAGGCTGTAGCTCTCCTATTACTTCTCCTGCATGCTCTGTCAGGAAGACACTATGCAAATGACACCTTCTCTGGTGCACTCTCACTCTCTAAAAGTATATTGTATACTAAAAATATGATAAAACTCAGTAAAGCAAAACCCATCAAGCTGGCCTGGAACAACCTGCAGGGCATGGATTTTGACTGCAAGGATGAGCAAGGGAATATTGCATTGTTTATGTGGTTTAACCTTGAAATTACTTTGGTCTTTGATAAGGAACCATTGGTGTCAGACAGTTTTTAGCTTCACTAATAAGAGGCTGGGTAAAGGGAACGTTTCCCAGTGATGCAGTGGTAAAGAATCCGCCTGCAATGCAGCAGACCCAGGTTCGATCCCTGGGTCGGGAAGATCCCCTGGAGGAGGGTATGGCAACCCACTCCAGTATTCTTGCCTGAAGAATTCCATGGACAGAGGAGCCTGGTGGGCTACAGTCCATGGGGTCCCAAAAGAGTCGGACATGACTAAAGTAACTCAGCACTCACACAAGGGGAGTGTTTACTTCTTGTTCCTATGCTCTAGACGTTGGTATGATTTTTGTATCAACCAGAGACTGAGCGACAAGCCACCATAAACTCTTCTGGGACCAGAAGGGATCAGAGACACTCAGCATCCAGGCCCCGCTGCTGCTCAGAGTTTGTGCTCAGCTCCCCCTGCAGTTTCCGTCACTGTGTCCCTCAGAGCACAGTAGTACACAGCTGAGTCTGACTCTTGGGCTGAAGCTTTCTCCAGTTGGAAGGAGGTGGTTTCTGAATTGTATGTGGCTTCAAAACCTTTGTGGCTTTGCTTCTCGTTGGCCTTCGTGGCTTTCAGGAGGAGCTGTGGACCTTCTCTAGGATACTGGACATACCAGAAAACAGTAGGGTACCCAGAGGTTGAATAAGTTGAATAAGTGCAGATTATAGTCGCAGAAATCCCTTCTGGAAGAGTCACTTGCCCATCCATCTGGGTCACTGAATTTCCACATGTTTGTCCTGGGCAAATTATAAATAAAAATTTTGTGTCACCTGTGGCATATTTTTCTGGGATAAAATTATGGTTAAAGATTTTGCTGACATAATAGAAGTAAGAATCCATGTTTTAAGAGGCATTTTACTTACCAAGCTTAGGAGTATCACAGTCACTAAACCTGGAGAGGAGCTCATCTCTGGAGTGTCACCCGAATAAAGAGGTGACACCTGACACTTCTTTAAAGAGAAAGAAAGGTTGAAGTCACAGTGAAGTGACAAGTCGAAGCCTGCATTTCACACAGGAAATGTGTTGGTGTAAGGAAGCTGCACCCCCTTGTGGACAGAGAGAGGAATGGGATGCTTGTAACCTAGTCTTCTGAGCATGTTCCCATCCCCAGCTTTATTTTTGAGACGTATACCAGTCTTCAGATGGCAGTTGGAAATCTGAACAAGTTGCTCTAACCTCTTAGGTCTATTTTGTTGTTAGGTCTCTACCTGACAGAAGTCCTTTAACAGAACATCCCTAAGGTATATCTGTAACTGAAAACATACTGATTTCCTTGAGCATGTTAAAACAGCCCTTGAGCTAGCCATAATTCATCAAATACCAGAAAAGCATTTGATGTTGAACTTAGAAGAAGTAATAAAAAATCAAGTCATTACTGAGTGATTCTTTTTTTCAACACTGTACCCTAATATGTAGAGCAGTAAACTAAGATTTATTGCATCACAAAATATCTGTCCAATTAAACAAAAATGATGAATAATGAGGAATAATGAGGAATAGTGAGGAATCACTACTCTTTGAAATGCACTGTTTCCTTGGCTGGTTGGTTTAGTCGCTAAATCTTGTCCAACACTTGCAACCCCATGGACTGTAGCCTGCAAGGCTCCTCTGCCCATGGGACTGTCCAGGCAAGAATACTGGAGTGATTTGCCATTTCCTTCTCCAGGAGATCTTTCTGACCCAGGAATCAAACCGGGATCTCCTGCTTTACAGGCTGATTCTTTACCAACTGAGCTATGAGGGACCAATCCTAAATTATATCAATTGTAAGGAATTCTATCTTTTAATAAAAGCTTTTAAGGAGGAAAAGTCACATATCTTATTAATAGTCGTATATTCCTGAATATAAAAATCATTTGAAAATGAAAATATGAACCCTAGTCAGGAAGAAACACCATAATTGAATTTATGAAGTACTACTTGATGTTCTGATATGAATATCTTATTCTCTCACAGTTTCAAGTTGGCTAAGTATTAGTCATTTAGTCATATCTGATTCTTCGTGACCCCATTGACTGTAGCTGGCCAGGCTCCTCTGTCCATGGAATTCTCCAGGCAAGAATATCAGAGTGGGTTGTCATTCCCTTCTGCAGGGGAACTTCCCAACCTGGGGATCGAACCTGTGTCTCCTTCATTGCAGGCAGATTCTTTACTGTCTGAGCAACAAATACTAATCTTACTAAATCCTACTAATAATACACTCAGTAGATATCTAATCTCAAGTACACTTTTTATTACTTAATGTAATAAGTAATAAGCAAAATGTTATACCAACATTTTGATGCCAAATTTTAACCAAATAATTTTCCTCTACTATGTCTGGAACCCTAAAGATGTGAATTTCTGTCAAAAGCCTGGAGCTTGGGTTAGGACTGTTCTTTCCCAGCTTTTCAAATCGTTAAAGACTTATAAATTGATATTTATAAAGCAGCTGATGATAAAATCAATATGTTCATGATTTAAAATTACAGATTCTGAACGCACCACAAATTTCATGAATTATTTTTTCCAGAATTGAGACTTGTGAATTTGTAATTTTGAAAGCTCCCTAAGAGGTTTTGTTGAAAACAGTCAAACAAAATTTCGTTTGTAATCATTGTCTAGACAAAGGTAGTTGCCAAGGTTCAGGGAGAAAGCTCTGGGCTCAGAATGGAAAAATGTTTCCGTTACTATACTGTGCTAAGTCACTTCAGTTCTGTCGGACTCTTTGGGACCCTATAGACTGTAGCCGACCAGGCTCCTCTGTCTATGGGATCCTCCAGGCAAGAATACTGGAGTTCATTGCCATATCCTCCTCCAGAGGACCTTCCTGACCCAGGGATTGAACCCACGTCTCTTTTGTCTTCTGCACTAGCAGGTTGGTTCTTTACCACTAGCACCACCTGGGAAGCCCATGACTCTACAAGTTGTATTAAATGATCCTTCTCTGTGAGTTACCAGCAGCAAAAAGAAGTCTTCTTTAGCTCACTTTTTTAAATGTTCATTTTATTTTAAACAAATTAAAAGAAACCAAAAACCCTGAGGGCTATCAGGATAAAGTTCTGGAGAAGGAAACAGTCAGTAAAGCCCCTGGAATCATTGGTTCCTAGACACATAGATGGGAGCTTAGCTCAGTTTCCTTCAGAGAGTTGACTCTCCACAGTTTCAGATCAGGGAGTTCCAAGAGTCCAAAGTCAACGTGTGACTGGTTTCCAGATTCCAATTAAGTAGGAAAAGCAGACTCAGATACTGGTTGGCTTCACATATTTCTTCCTTTCTCCGTTGCCTTCCAAATCGCATTGTCAGAACCTGCCTCAAAATTATGCTAGAAATGAATTCAGGAAAAGCAGCTAATAACTTTTATTCTGCTATAAAGGGGGAAAACAATACAGGTTTGACGATGCTGAGTTGAAAAAATGAGTATAGAATGAATGGATACAGAAAGTTGTTATTCATGCTTTAAAAAATATATATATATATATATATATATATATATATATATATATATATATATATATATATATATATATATATATTAAGGCCAGTAAGAATGTAGAGGACAAATATTTGCATTTGAGTCTCGGCGCTGCCGTCTATGGGGTCTCACAGATTCGGACACGACTGAAGCGACTTAGCAGCAACAGCAGCAGCAGAAGTCTTGTACAGCAATGAAGAAAGATATTTCTTAAATTTGGATTTTAATGTTATTATTAAAGCATAATTTTCATAAAAATATACTGCACTTATTTAAAGTAAGCTTTCATAAGATTAGACAAATATGTATGTACATACATATGCATAATTGTGAAACCGTCATCACAATCAAGATAACGAACTGTGCATCACCACCAAAAGTTTCCTCACATCTCTTTGTGGTCCTCTCAACCCTCTCCCCACCTCCTACTCCCATTTCCATGCAAAACTTGTTATTAATTAATTTACATATTTTATAACATGATATAAATGGGATAATATATACTTTTTGTTTAGCTTCCTTCATTCAGCATAATTATTTTAAGATTCTTTCATGGTTATAAGTATCAATGGCTTATTCTTCTGTGTTGCTGAATAGTATTCCATTATATGGATCCAAAACAATTTTCCTATCTATTCACCTGTTGATGTACATTTAGGTTAGTCCCAGTTTAGGGCTGTTACAAATAAAGTTGCTATGAATATGTGAATAAGATTTTTTTTTAATAGACATGCTTTCATTTCTATTGGGTAAATATATGGAGTGAAATAGCTGGATCATATGGGAGGTGTATATTTGACTTTAACTTTCTCATTTTTTCTGGTAGATTTCTTTCATAGATCCCAATGGATTTTATATTCAGACAATTATACTATCTGTGACTAAAGATAGGTTCACTTTTCCTTTCAAAACTCTTTGTCTTTTGTTTCTTCCTCTTGCCTTATTGCACTGACTAGAACCCTTGGTGCAATATTAAATACAAGTGGTAAAAGCCAAAATTCTTCCCTTTTTCTTCCCTCTATTCATGAAGCCCAGTTCTTCCTATACAACTTCTTTATTTAAACCATGGTTTGACTTCTATAGAATCATCATAGTTGTGAGACTTCCAGAAGATTATGAGAGGTTTATGGACAGAAAGGAGAATAATTTTCAGATTCACTCCAGAAATCTGAAGCATCTATACATCTCATAAATTTGAACCACAGTTACTACCCCAACACCTTCTAGAGTAAAACTTGGAGCACCTCACAGTAAAAGACAAAATATGCAAGCAGTAAGTCGAAGCCAAGATTTCAATATAAATATGGTTGAGAAAAACTAATCATTTTTTTCTTATGCACCACAAAAATAACCTAAATGCAACAAGGAGATTAAAGAAAAGGAATAAATGCTATATTTATAATTTCAATCAAATTAGAGAGGGGTCCAGGTATTTGTAAGAGCTACCAAAATCAGATAAGCTTGCACAAATACATATGCTCTGAACAGCTATAGTGAGTGAATCATGCCAGGTCGAAAGGAAATCTTTCCAGATCATATCCATCTGTTAATACACTTCCAAATATTAAAATAATCCCTTTCAAAATGTCAGATTATGGTTTTATTATTGATTTTATTATTTTCCCTTGATCAGCCACTTTCTGCTTTAATTCCTTCACTCTGATTTCTTTCATTTTGTTTTATTGTTCATACAAATTTCTTGAGTTACATACTATAATTATTTAATCTAAATAACGTTTTTGTACTTGGAAGCAAATTAAAAATAAATATAAAAAAGAAAGTTAAATTAATTATGTATAGACTCATGAACATGTAGAAATATAGATAGGGAAACTTGTTTGAAGATAAGGTAAAAGCTAAAATATAAAGAAAAATATTAAAAGTCCTTTACAAACTGAGAAAAATTGCATAGTAGTCACCTTAGAAAGTAAATATGAGTACCATGGACTCACACCAAACAGACCTAAATCAAACTAATTCAGAAATAGTATAAAACAACGTGGTCTGTTAAAAGAGACATTATTCTGAGAGGACCTTCATAATTGAAAACCATGCCTACAACATAATTGAAGGAACCCAGAATATGTCAACCCAAATCATGCCTCTTTGAGGATCATAAGAGACTACTATCAGCAACTATATGCAAATAAAATGGACAATTTGGAAGAAATTGACAAATTCTTAGAAAAGCACAACTTTCCAAAATTGAACCAGGAAGAAATAGAAAATCTTAGCAGACCCATCACAAGCACGGAAATTGAAACTGTAATCAGAAATCTTTCAACAAACAAAAGCCCAGAAGCAGACTGTTTCACAGCTGAATTCTACCAAAAATTTAGAGAAGAACTAACACCTATCCTACTGAAACTCTTCCAGAAAATTGCAGAGGAAGGTAAACTTCAAACTCATTCTATGAGGCCACCATCACCCTAATAACAAAACCTGACAAAGATGCCACAAAAAAAGAAAACTACAGGTCAATATCATTGATGAACATAGATGCAAAAATCCTTAACAAAATTCTAGCAAACAGAATACAGCAGCGTATTAAAAAGATCATATATCATGACCAAGTGGGCTTTATCCCAGGAATGCAAGGACTCTTCAATATCCACAAATCAATCAATTTAATACACCACATTAACAAATTGAAAAATAAAAACCATATGATTATCTCAATAGATGCAGAGAAAGCCTTTAACAAAATTCAACATCCATTTATGATAAAAACTCTCCAGAAAGCATGCATAGAAGGAACATACCTCAACATAATAAAAGCTATATATGACAAACCCTCAGCAAACATTATCCTCAATGGTGAAAAATTGAAAGCATTTCCCCTAAAGTCAGGAAAAAGACAAGGGTCCCCCTCTCACCACTACAACTCAACATAGTTTTGGAAGTGTTGGCCACAGCAATCAGAGCAGAAAAAGAAATAAAAGGAATCCAGACAGGAAAAAAAAGAAGTAAAACTCTCACTGTTTGCAGATGACATGATCCTCTACATAGAAAACCCTAAAGACTCCACCAGAAAATTACCAGAGCTAGTCAATGAATATAGTGACGTTGCAGGATATAAAATTAACACACAGAAATCCCTTGCATTCCTAACAATATATACTAATTTCCTAACAATATCCCTTGCATTCCTAACAATATTCCTAACAATATATACACTAACAATGAGAAAACAGAAAGAGAAATTAAGGAAACAATGCCATTCACCATTGCAACAAAAAGAATAAAATACTTAGGAATATAACTACCTAAAGACACAAAAGACCTATATATAGAAAACTATAAAACACTGATGAAAGAAATCAAAGAGGACACAAATAGATGGAGAAATATACTGTGTTCATGGATCAGAAGAATCAATATAGTGAAAATGAGTATACTACCCAAAGCAATCTATAGATTCAATGCAATCCCTATCAAGCTACCAACGGTATTCTTCACAGAACTAGAACAAATAATTTCACAATTTGTATGGAAATACAAAAAACCTCGAATAGCCAAAGCAATCTTGAGAAAGAAGAATGGAACTGGAGGAATCAACCTGCCTGACTTCAGGCTCTACTACAAAGCCACAGTCATCAAGACAGTATGGTACTGGCACAAAGACAGAAATATAGATCAATGGAACAAAATAGAAAGCCCGGAGATAAATCCACACACCTATGGACACCTTATCTTTGACAAAGGAAGCAAGAATATACAATAGAGAAAAGACAACCTCTTTAACAAGTGGTGCTGGGAAAACTGATCAACCACTTGTAAAAGAATGAAGCTAGAACACTTCCTAACACCATACACAAAAATAAACTCAAAACAGATTAAAGATCTAAATGTAAGACCAGAAACTATAAAAATCCTAGAGGAAAACATAGGCAAAACACTCTCCGACATAAACCACAGTGGGATCCTCTGTGACCCACCTCCCAGAATATTGGAAATAAAAGCAAAAATAAACAAATCGTTTCATCCATCTCACTAGAACTGATTCAAATGAATTCTTTTAATTCCATGATGGATGAAACTGGAGCCCATTATGCAGAGTGAAATAAGCCAGAAAGATAAAGATCATTACAGTATACTAACACATATATATATGGAATTTAGAAAGATGGTAATGATAACCCTATATGCAAAACAGAAAAAGAGACACAGATGTACAGAACAGACTTTTGGACTCTGTGGGAGAAGGTGAGGGTGGGATGTTTAGAGAGAACAGCATCAAAACATGTATATTATCTAGGGTGAAACAGATCACCAGCCCAGGTTGGATGCATGAGACAAGGGCTCCAGCCTGGTGCACTGGGAAGACCCAGAAGGATCGGGTGGAGAGGGAGGTGGGAGGGTGGAGTGGGATGGGGAACACATGTAAATCCATGGCTGACTCATGTCAATGTATGACAAAAACCACTACAATATTGTAAAGTAATTAGCCTGAAACTAATACAAATAAATGGAAAAAAATAAACAAATGGAACCTAATTAAAATTAAAAGCTTCTGAACCACAAAGAAAACTATAAGCAAGGTGAAAAGACAGCCTTCAGAATGGGAGAAAATAATAGCAAATGAAGCAACAGACAAAGGATTAATCTCAAAAATACACAAGCAACTCCTGCGGCTCAATTCCAGAAAAATAAAAGACACAATCAAAAAGTGGGCCAACGACCTAAACAGACATTTCGCCAAAGAAGACATACAGACGGCTAACAAACACATGAAAAGATGATCAACATCACTCACTATCAGAGAAATGCAAATCAAAACCACAATGAGGTACCATTTCATACCAGTCAGAATGGCTGCTATCCAAAAGTCTACAAGCAATAAATGCTAGAGAGGGTGCGGAGAAAAGGGAACCCTCTTACACTGTTGGTGGGAATGCAAACTAGTACAGCCACTATGGAGAACAGTGTGGAGATTCCTTAAAAAACTGGAAATAGAACTGCCATATGACCCAGCAATCCCACTTCTGGGCATACACACTGAGGAAACCAGGACTGAAAGAGACACGTGTACCCCAATGTTCATCTCAGCATGGTTTATAATAGCCAGGACATGGAAGTGACCTAGATGTCCATCAGCAGATGAATGGATAAGAAAGCTGTGGTATATATACACAATGGAATATTACTCAGCCATTAAAAAGAATACATTTGAATCTGTTCTAATGAGGTGGATGAAACTGGAGCCTATTATACAGAGTGAAGCCAGAAAGAAAAACACCAATACTGTATACTAAAGCATATATATGTAATTTAGAAAGATGGTAACAATAACCCTGTATGTGAGACAGAAAAAGAGACACAGATGTATTGAACAGTCTTTTGGACTCTGTGGGAGAAGGCGAGGGTGGGATGATATGGGAGAATGGCATTGAAACATGTATTTTATCATATGTGAAAAGAATCACCAGTCCAGGTTTGATGCATGAGACAGGGTGCTCGGAGCTGGTGCATTGGGATGTCCCAGATGGATGGGATGAGGAAGGAGGTGGGAGGGGGGTTTAGGATGGGGAACACATGTACACCCATGGCAGATTCAAGTCAATGTATGGCAAAACCAATACAATATTGTAAAGTAAAATAAATAAATAAACAAAAAATTTTTAAGGGCAAATTATGCCTCTTTGACATAAAAATTATTTTGAGTAAATGCAGGAAAGGATCCCCTTTTTCTGCCTAAAAGCAGTAAATAAATCCTTTTTTTGAAGAGAGATTCTATAATGGCACCAAGGACTTTGTATTCAAGAAAGATAGGATACACAGCGGGTAAGTGAAATATCACTAGCCCATGGTCTGTCCATTCTTCACAGATTTATTGTTTCTTCATCCAAGAAGTATAAAAACTATCCCTGTTCTGGGTGCTTCTTCAGATCTTCATTTTCCTGTGAAGGCTCCCATGTACATGTGCAAATTTAATAAAATTTGCATGCTTTTCTCCTCTAACCTGTCAGTTTAATTCTTAGGCCTAACCAGGGACACAAAGAGGGTAGAGGAGAATTCTTCTTCCTCCACACAATATATAATCCATAAATATTTATTGAAAATTGATGAGAAAAACCAACTATTCACACATATTTTTACTGATTTTTCCATCATATGTTTCTGAACTTAGCCAATTCTTCTATCTCAATCTGGTCACCAAATGGCAAAGATTTTATGTGGCTGTTCTTTCTTTCCGATCTTTGGCTAAAAATGCTATATGTCTACCTTCAAGACAATGAGACAGGGATAAGGTGTGTTTGATGATAGTTCTGAACACAGTCTATGAACTTAGAGAGGTATTTTCTCAGGATGAGTGTCTTCCCTCCAACCCTACAGCTGTACTGTCGTCCTAGCCACTTCCTGCCTGTCCTGCCAATTCCCTGCCCCAGTCCCTACAGCAGGTGGAGCAGAGCCCTAGGTTTTGGTACAAGTCCCTCCTACATGCATCTCACTGTGGGCTCTCTCAGTGCACAGAAATACACTGCAGAGTCCTCCAGCTGTGAAGCTGAGATGACAAGTATGATGGATTTTCTTGCTTTCTGGAAATTCAATGAGTAGCGACCTTCTGTGGCATTTTCCTTGCTATGAGAATCCTGACGAAGGAGAAAAATCACTGCCCCACTGCTGGGCTGCTTGTACCAGAATAGACTATAACCTGAATCACTGGTGTCATATGTGCAGTCTAGGGTCACAGCCTCTTTCTCCCGTACTAACATTGGTTGTGGGTCTTGAGTTACCTTCTGGGCAATAATGGATACTAAAGGAAAAAAAATAGAATAAAAACTTTAGGAATAAGTGGAGTGGAATAAAGAAATCCTATATTAGATCCTACTACCCCTTCTTCCCAGGGTACCCATAAGACTGCCTGTTCCCCCAGTCCTTAGGTCACAGAGGAGTCACAATCCCACTGGGTCCATCCTTACCGAAACAGAGTGAAGCCTCGACCACCTTCAGAAGGCTTGAGAGAAGCATG